TACAGAAAGATGCTGAGAATAAAATATTATAAACATGTGACTAACGAGGAAGTTTTAAGAAAAGTGGGAAAAAAGACACTCAGAATCAGAAAGAAACAGGCTTGGAGAATTTGACACTCACAAGATACATTAAAGAGCAAAAGGAAACAATAACTATTCTACCTAACGATCTTTTGAAAATCGATGGCAGAACAGGGACCCGGAAGGGCAATAACGAGACAAAAGATGGGATGTTGTGAAGGCCCATTACTATCTACGAAGGGATAATGAAGATAAATTAAAAAGAAAAGAAATAAGGGTTCTCTGCTAGTAACAAGTTCATAAGTAAAATGAAAGACAGAATTATTTGCCAAAGCAGTTCTAAGGTTTATTTTTTCATCAAAACTTTTAGCAGAAAAAAATATTGGCAATGTACCGAATGAAAACAAGTTTCTGAAGTTTTTGTTTTCGAAATAAAACATATAGTAATTTATCTTTGTGTGTAGGTTGTGTGGGTGTGTATGCGTATATGTATATACAGAGCAACCTCGGTTGTCGAACGTCTCGCATGTCGAAGAAATCGGTTTTCGAACAGAAAATTCGAGATGAAAATGCCTCTGTCATCGAACAAAATTTCGGTTCTCTAACAACATTGCCAAACAAACCGAGTTAACCCGAACGGAATAATTTCTGAGTCGACCGCCATGTTAGTATACATTCGTGTGTTGTGGCGTGCCTTTCTTTTCCAATTTTATTGTACTGTGACTTTTTTCTCTACACTGATTCCTATTGAGAAAATATATATATATATATATATATATATATATATATATCCACACACGCAACATCTACACACACACACACACACACATATATATATATATATATATATATATATATATATATATATATATATATATATATGATACCCTCCCACCAAGCTCACCTATATGATTTACCCAAAACACAAAAACTCGACATACCCATCAGACCCATTGTGCCCGGTATCAAAAGCCAACCCCACAAATTAGCTAGAGTCATGACAAAAAGTCTAATTCCATTCCTAGGAATGATTAGCGCAACACTTACCAATCATTTTGGTCACTTGATCCAGAGAATACGAAACGTAAATATGGAAAACATGAATATAGCAAGCATAGACATTAAATCATTATACACCAACATACCCATTATAAATATCTCAACATATTGAGAAAATACCTCAAAAAGTCAAAGTCTTCCTCTACCCGTCCACAAAATTATAAAAATACGCAAACTAATAACTAACCACTTCTTTAACAATATTCTCTACAAGGAAAATTTGGCTTGGCTATGGGATCACCTATCAGTGGTATTCTCGCTTGCCTTTTTCTAGAAATCATTGAATCCCTTCCATTAAGATACATCATTCCAAAGAGTTCTACTTACCTAAGTGTTATAGAGTAGTTTCACAGTGGAGTCTTGTATATCACTAAATCGTTACTAAAAAGGTTCGACGTACAAAACGTTAGAAACTTGATATAATATTTAATGACGCAGCAATCTAGTTGTGGTGGTTGATACTTTAATGTCCGACATCGACTCACTCACCAACTCACTGAGCTCACTGGCGACTGCTACTATTACTACTTATTATAGGTGGGAGAGTCTATTAACAATAGAATAGATATGTTCCAGTATAACACTAAGATATATAGATAACGTATTATTATCCCCAAGATACAAACATATTAGGCATAATAATGAAACTCAATACGGTTGAGCCTACCGCTAAATTCACACGCGGATTTGAAATAAACAATTATCTACCTCTAATTGATATGTTATTAATATGCAACAATGAGAAATTTGATTTTAAAGTATATCGTAAACCCACAAGCAAAAACCACCTAACCAACTTCTATTCCCACCACAACCAAAAACTAAGGCCAAGACTAGTCATAGAAAAAACAGAGACCGCCAATAACATTTCTAACAAAAATACACAATATTTATAATCATGCCCTTCAACACTCTTTCTTCTAAACTCGCAAACAAATTAGTCATCCCTAATACTAGGATTGTTATCACCACCTCCAAGACAATCGGGGACATAATTAGGAAGAAAAATAAGACGATTCAAATACTATCAAATAAATTGTTTACAATGCAAAAATGTTTATGTGGGAGAGACATCACGTGATCTAAAAACCGGCATCTACGAACACAAGAGAGAGTGGCGTTTGAACAAACGATCTAACTCTCTTGTTTTGCATAGAAATGATGCTGGACATAACTTTGATTAGACTAATACCCCACCTAATTAAAGAAGGAGAAAATTACCAGGTATAAATACACGCCTAAAACATTGCATTAGATCGTAATCTTTCTTTGAATCAGTTTTTCTATCTAACACAAAGAAAACATTCTTAAAGAGGCCGGACATAATATTAGAACCTTGTGACGTCACACTGCGCGGGTTGACTGTACAAAGGTGAAGACTAAACTCCTACTCGACAGACAAATATACCATACAATGCCCACTTAGACATACAAGAATCTTCACAAACCTACATACATATAGAATTATCCACGGTTTTAATACACGTGACAGTTGTCTGACCAATGAGAACTGACGCAAACATTTTGAAAATATCAGAATTTCTGTCTTTTTGTCTGTTTTCTCTCAATCTCTGACGACGCTTTAATAAAAGTGAAACATGTTATACGCTTCCTTTTTCTTCTTTTATTTTATTATCTTGTCGATTTCCGATCCATATTTGATCTGTATTTGATCTTCAGCTCATATATATATATATATATATATATATATATATATATATATATATATATATATATATATATTTTTTTTTTATAGATAATATTTATATATTATATATGCTCGGTACTTATTGGAAAGCGCTCAATATAAGTGATAGAGCAAACATGTTTAGTTGAGCAAACATGTTTAGTTGGATTGATGTGATTTCGTGACACTAGGAACACCGAACACGAATATGTTTACAAACGGATGTAGAGAGATGGCTTTGGCTATATTATCAGAAATGCTATCGAATACACCGCAGTCGACAGGAAGGGAAACGGTAAAGAAAGAAGAGATAGGTTACTGAATTGAGGAGAGATAGACGGCAACACATATATGAATGGCCTGGGGGCACCTCGGCGTGGTGTAATGGTTAGCAAACTTGTCTCGCTAGATCAGTTACAACTGAAAAGTGAATTCGATCCTCACTGGATGCCCCATACTTTCGGCCTTGTGCCACATCTAAGCTATGCTTGGAAAATAACTATATGAATGGCCTGGAGATTCCAAAGAGAGTTCCCTATACAATGGGAGATGATCGCGGATATAAACTCCCAGGACATGCATGTGGATTTTAGAGTCCTTCTAAGAAGAGGAAGGTAGACGGGAATCGAGAAATCAGAAGGGATTGATGAGTTATGGTTAGTCTCGCAGAGAGCTAGTATATCAGTAATGATTCCACACTAAATGGGCAATATTAAATGCAATGGTCTTTCAAGTTCAATGAGCAAGTACTGCGAACTATGACAAATCTTTCACTCGTACAACTAAATGTTACTAGCTACTTAAAGGTCTCACAGTAATAATCCATTGTGATAATTGATAACACAAAGGTAATAAAAAAAAAGTTCGTAAAATGCGTTGTAATTGGCAACACTTTATCTAAGTCTTCTTCTGTATGCCATGTCCCTTCAGGACGTAGGTGATCATGGCTCTCCACAATTTCCAGTCCTTTGTAGTTTTTTCTTCCAAACTCTGTTCCGCCATTCATTTGCTCAACTTCAGTAAGTATATTATGCGTTGTTGTCCTTTGTCCCTTCACTCTGTCCTGTGAGTATCGCACTTTCCAAGCCCTCTTTCCTCATTATGCACCCTAGTAATTTCAACTGTCTCTTCGTAGTGTTAGGCATAAGGTTCTATTTTGTTCACATTTTCTCTAAAACTTCATCATTGCTCACATTTTCGGTCTGTAATATCCTCATCATCCTTCTGTACATCCACAATTTTGTTGCTTCAAGTTTCTTTAATATCTTTGAGGATATTGCTCCGCATTCACTCTCATATAAGAGGACTTACATTAGGTAAATCTTCAATACTCTTTTGTTTGTTTCTAACGAAATTTTCATGTTTCTTATTACTTTGCTTAAATTTCGGAAATCATCTTTCGCTATCCGAAAGCAGCTTCGGATTTCGCTGTCGAACTTTCCGTCCTCTGTTGAAACAATTCTCAGATATTTAAATTGTTGTATTTGTTTGATTTTGGTATCTCCGCTCTACATTAAATAAACCAAAAACTTTGTTAAGTAAAATCAATCAAGCAATTTGATATTATAAAAAAAAACTTTCAACAGATCAGTTACATCTGAGTGTAACTGATGCTTTTGATAAGATGAAAAAAATATTTCAACGGATCAATTACACCCGAGTGTAACTGACGCTTTTGATACTGTTAAAAATATTATTCTCATTGACATTTCATAATCTTTAAACTTAATTTTCTTTAAAGACATATTCGTTCAGGGCGGAAATATTAATGGCTCTCCACAACATCCCTTTTCTTTATTATCTGTAAGATATTGGTAAAGATAATGAAGTTATTCCCTGTTGGTGTCACGCCTATTTCAGAGTAGTCTTTCACTTAGATATACTACGCTATCTAATACTAAAGAGTTCAGCCTACCCTATCCATGGCTGGCGTGGAAGAGATAGATAGCCTTTCCTAAATTCATTTGAGTGAAAGGGAACGGAACTGACTCGACTTGGATTTGAACTCGGCTCATTGTTTCTACTTTTCCACTAAACTTCATTACTGACCGGAAATTATGAATCTTCCAAAATAATGCATCGAAAAAATGTAGTTTGTACGATACTTTTTTCATTCTCTGTAGGAAAAAAAAAAACTCATGATGAACAATTTTTATTAGTAGCCATAGCATCTTATGAATTTAACGTGTGTTCCCGTGGTTTTATAGAGTGTGTGCAATAAAGTGGAAAATGTATGAGAGAATATTGCGGCATATTTTTGAAAACGTTGAGCACATTATTTACATTCGCTGATATGTCTGGTAAAGAGATCGCTTGGATTTACAACAAGAGAACGACACACTTTATAAAGGTTTGAAGGTAAACAGTCCAGCGCCGTTCTGTCTGTGACTTTTCAAGTTCTCTCGTACACCCATATAAACACACTCTCTCTCCCTCCCTCTCTCTCTCTCTCTCTCTCTCTCTCTCTCTATTTTTTGTTTGTTTAACCTCTATTTACTTTTGTCCTTTGTTTTCTCTGTCTCTCTCATTGCTTTTACTTTTTCTATCTCTCATTGTAACATTTTTTCTTTCATTCCAGTACTTTTACATTTCTTTTTACATTTCTGTTTTTCTTTCTTTCTTTCTTTCTTTCTTTCTTTCTTTCTTCTTTCTTTCTTTCTTTCTTTCTTTCTCTCGTTCTTTCTTTCTTTCGTTCTTTCTTTCTTTCTTTCCTTCCTTCTTTCTTTTGTTCGTTCTTTCTTTCTTTTGTTCTTTTTTCTTTCCTTCCTTCCTTCCTTCCTTACTTACTTACTTCTTTCTTTCTTCCTTACTTTTTTCTTTCTTTCTTTTCTTTCTTTCTTCTTTCTTTCTTTCTTTCTTTCTCTCGTTCTTTCTTTCTTTCGTTCTTTCTTTCTTTCTTTCCTTCCTTCTTTCTTTTGTTCGTTCTTTCTTTCTTTTGTTCTTTTTTCTTTCCTTCCTTCCTTCCTTCCTTTACTTCTTTTTTTTTTTCTTTCTTTTTTTTTCTTTCTTTCTTTCTTTCTTTTTTTTTTTTTTTTTCTTTCTTTCTTTCTTTCTTTCTTTCTTTCTTTCCTTTTCTTTCTTTTGTTCGTTCTTTCTTTCTTTTGTTCTTTTTTCTTTCCTTCCTTCCTTCCTTCCTTCCTTCCTTCCTTTTCCTTTTCTTCCTTCTTTTTCTTTCTTCCTTACTTTTTTCTTTCTTTCTTTTCTTTCTTTCTTTCTTTCTTTCTTTCTTTTTCTCTCGTTCTTTCTTTCTTTCGTTCTTTTCTTTCTTTCTTTCCTTCCTTCTTTCTTTTGTTCGTTCTTTCTTTCTTTTGTTCTTTTTCCTTCCTTCCTTCCTTCCTTCCTTCCTTCCTTTCTTTCTTCCTTTCTTTCTTTTCTTTCTTTCTTTCTTTCTTTTCTTTCTTTCTTTCTTTCTTTCTTTCTTTCTTTCTCTCGTTCTTTCTTTCTTTCGTTCTTTCTTTCTTTCTTTCCTTCCTTCTTTCTTTTGTTCGTTCTTTCTTTCTTTTGTTCTTTCTTTCTTTCCTTCCTTCCTTCCTTCCTTCCATCCTTCCTTCCTTACTTACTTTTTTCTTTCTTTCTTTCTTTCTTTTCTTCCTTCTTTCTTTCGTTCTTTTTTTAATTAAATTTTACCCTCTGTTTTGCTCTGTTTCCTTACATTTCTTTGTCTTTTTCACTCTATTTCCTTTTTTATTCTTTCTGATTTTTCTCTTTACTTCCTTCTTCTTATTCTCTTTCTCTCTTTCTCTATCTATCTATCTATCTATCTATCTATCTTGTGCTATTTCGTTTTCCCCACTGACTTTCTTACTTTCTGTTTTATTTTCAAATTCTTCTTAGCTTGCTTTTTTAAACGCTTGCAATGTTAAGACTAGTTTAAGTAAAATTCTGACTGGAATATGTTTCATAAGTTATTTGTTTGTTGCAGTTTTTGTGTTTATTTTTTCAAGGCATTCCATGCATTCCAAAGGAAGAATGAAATATGTCGAAAATATTTCAAGTGAAACTTTAAATCACAAAACAAAGGTAGGGAATGGGTATTACAAAAGTTTATTTTAAATTATATCATCACCAGAGTAAGCATAAGGCCACTAAGGTCGATGGTGTGCCCAATAGAACAGCGAAGAATAAAAAACATAGATAAGAACTAATATATTTACTATCAGAAAGCGTTAGTTGAAATTGCTGGTACATATAATAAAGAAAGAGGGAGTGGTGAATTTAACACAAACGGGATGAGAATAGATATCAGAATAAGGACAAAGAGGTTTGATAAATACTCAATAGTTATTTAGAGCAACAAAATGCAGAAAGTCGTGGAGAGCCATGATTTCTCACCTCCCGAAGAGTCACGATCCATAGGAGAAGCTTCACATTCGATTGCATTGACTATTACTCGACTGGAATCTTTATAATTATTTCTTAATTAATTTTTCATAATGAATTCGATCTAATAGTTTTATTCGTGCAAATATTTACATGCATCCTATCCCAAGAGAATAGCACACAAACACACATACATGCAAACACACACACACACATATATATATATATATATATATATATATATATATATATATATATATATATATATATATATACTAGCAGTAGAGCCCGGCGTTGCCCGGAGATGTAACAGTAAGAGATAGATCAATTATCAACCACCATAAAGACTGAAAAATAAAATTGACAAAGATTATTGTTTAAGGTTGACGGACACGCATGTCTTAATTAGTTTTTTTTTTTTTACGAATTGGTCAAACCCAAACTCAAACAAAAAAACATTGTTTTCCATCGTTATGAGTCTATCGATTGAATAGAATTTTATTTTAAACAATTGTCTTGTAAATGGAATTTTTAAAGTATTCTGAATGTAAAAAATAAAGAAAAAGTGTGCAAGACAATAAGAAACACTACCTGCCAAAAAAATGAAGTTTTGTTGAAATCGGTTGAAAAATGTAGGAAATCCGATCCCATATATAAACGAACACACACACGCACAAACAACCTGGGTTTTATAATAAGTATAACTCGATATGAGTTGTCCCCCTTTCATTCAGGCGACAGAATCGTGTTTTCAAATTGATTTCGTGCAAAAACAATTGTGTTTTTTCCAATTTTTGGCTCTGTCTGAACCACTGCAAGGTAATTTTACGCAGTCCTGTGAAGTTTTGTTGAAATCGGTTAAGAAATGTAGGAAATCCGATCCAATATATAAACGTCCAGACACACACACACACACACACACAACCTGGGTTTTATATTAAGTAAGATATCAGTGGACATAGAAATCATTACTGCGTACGATTTCTAGCCGTAAGTGATCATCAAAACATGGTCTGATGGTCGCTAATGCTTAAACTGCCAATTACCACATAGTCTTGATTTCTATGTCCATAATGTTGATATATATATATATATATATATATATATATATATATATATATATATATATATATATATATATATATACAGTCCCCTTCCAAAACTATTGCAACGGCAAGGCCAATTTCTTTGTCCTTGTTGTTCGCTGAAGACATTTGACTTTAAGATCAAAAGATCAATATCGGACAAAGTTCTGAATTTCTGATTTTGTTACTTGGTATTGACATTTAGATGTGTTAAACATATTCACTTTTTTGGTATCAGATCCACCTTATTCTTAGGTGAGCAAAAGTAAAGGAACATATAGTATTAAAGTAAATAACATTTAATATTTGGTTGCATAACCCTTGCTTTGCAATAACTGCACATGGACATCACCAAACCGTTGCATTCTTGATTTGTAATACCTTTCCATCCTCTTTCAGCTCTTTGTTTCGGGGAATTTCTTTCCTCAAATATCCTCTTCAGGAGATGAAATGAATGTTCTATTGGGTTATGGTCCGGTGATTGATTTGGACACTCTAAAAATGTCCACTTTTTACCCCTGAAGTCTTTTGTCGTGTTGGCTGTATGTTTTGGTTCATTGCCCTGCTGCATGATAAACTTCCTTCCGATTTTTGTTTGGATCCATTTCTCTGTAAATTGACAGAAAAATGTTTCTGTAAACGTCTGAATTCATTCTGCTATTACCATCATGGGTTACATAATCAATAAATATTCCAGAAGTAACCATGAAAGCCGAAACCAAGATACTGCCTCCAGCATGCTTCGCAGATGAGCTTGTATGCTTTCAGTCATAAGCAAATCGTTTTTTTCTCCACACTTTGGCTTTTCCATCACTTTAGTAGAGATTAATCATGGTCTCATCAAAACATTCTTCCATTACTTTTGTCAGTTATATTTGTACTTCCTTGAAAGCTCCAATCTGGTCTTCCAAATCTTACTTCTGATGAGGGGTTTGAATCTGAAGTAAGACGTATATTTCTGCTCTCAAAGTCTTCTTCGAACGGTGGATTGTGAAACATGCACCCCTGCACTGTGTAGATTGTTAGTGATGTCACTATTGTTTTTGGGTTTTTTTTTTCTTCACGGCTCTCACAATATTTCTGTGATTGACTGTTGTTGTTTTCCTTGACCGACCTGTTCAATGTCTATTGCTCAGTACACCAGTAGCTTCTTTCATTCTCCGGACATTCCAAATTGTTGTGTTGGCTATGCTAAATGTTTATGCAAGGGCTCTGATCGATTTTCCTTCTTTTCTCAGCATCAAAATGGCTTTCTTTTCTCCCATAGACAGCTCTCTCGTTGGTATAACTTTTTTTAAGAAGAAAAGCAATCTTTACAGGTGAACTGCAAAGCTAATAGCAAGAGTGGTCATTCAGAGATATTTAAACATCCATTCTAAATGGCAACACTTGGGTATCCGGAAACACCAGTGAATCATATGTTCCAACAGTTTTGTTCACTGGATTCAAACAAAAGATGGCATGTCCTAAGTTGTTTAACACATCTAAATGTAAATACAAGGAAATAACAGCTGGAATTCTGAATACCTCTCATATTCATCTTTTGATATTAAATTCAAATATATTCAGTGAACAACGAAAAAAAAAAATTGGCATTGCCGTTCCAATAGATTTATATATATATATATATATATATATATATATATATATATATATATATATATATATTGTCATCCACAAACAGATTGTTTTGCTGTATCACAGCTCCTCAATGTGACTAGACGTTCGGTTGCCTCTAGCTAGGATCGAAACCTGACTAAATTGGTGTCAGTCGGAGATTCTAGCACGGCAGGGATGTAGTTGAATTTAAGCGCATTTATTTTTAGATAAACAGTGACTGAGATAACTCGATTCGTTTTACCGAAGAGTCTTGCATTATTAGCCGTAATAGTCACTGTTTACAAACTCACATTCCCTCACCAAAGAGGTCAACCGAAATAAATAAATATATATATATATATATATATATATATATATATATATATATATATATATATATATGTATGTATGCATTTATATGTGTATACTTATTTATGGACAGAAACTGTATAACATTTTTCTTGAGTGTTGATAGATGTTTCGAGCCAAAAATTTATATTGATTGACATATAGTGAAATGCTACTTTAATTTCAAGTGCCAATTGTCTGACTTGGGAAAACAATCCTCAACGCGACACTATCTCTACAATTTTGATCGAAACTATTTGTTTTAAATTGATCAGTTTTTCAATTATCACGCAAACATGAACATTTAAAAAAAAACCCTGGAAAGTCAGATTTTTGGTTTTGATTAATGTTATCATTTAAAGAATGAGGAAGAAAAGTAATTTCGTAGAATTATAGCAACTCTATGTTGCATAATATCTATTCTTATTCTTCCCTCGCTCTAAGAATTCTGAATTATCGAAGAATTTTTAATTATCATCCGTTACAAATTTATTGTACTATGACATCCGAACGTAAACATTAATTCAGTGTAAATCAATTTGGCAGATGAAAGGAATAGAAGTCTCGAAGCATGTGCCAACATTCAATAGAAACATTCAAATTTATATGTGACAGAATAGTTGGCGGCAATTATATCATGTTGATATATATGTTTTGTATGTGTATGTATGTCTACACAATCACACACACACGCGCACACACACACACACACACACACACACACATATACATATATATATATATATATATATATATATATATATATATGTATATATATATAATCCCTGTTTTATATAAGTTTCGTTAAAACGGCTGACCGGGTGATATAGTTAAATGGTTTTAACGAAACTTGTATATATATATATATATATATATATATATATATATATATATTGAACAATAAAAAAATATTAAAAAATTAAAATCTTCAGACACACTGGGTTGTAAATTAATATTCTTTCGTTTTTTTTATTATTTCATTTAGATTCCTCGACTAGTTTCGGTCAAAATGGCCATCATCAGGAGAAGAAATATTTCTGCTTGCTGGTAGCAGTAAACTACAGAAATGCATGTCTTGATGGAGAAAATGAACTTTTGTCTGTAGTTTACATTTGTTTTTTTATATTTTTTTTTATCTTTTAATATGAATCTTTTAACATTCCTTGTGTTGGTCAAACAGTCTCTTTTAAGTTGTTATTTGAGATAAGAGCTAGATGGATCTATGCTGCTCTGAATTCCTGTGGTCAGTTTGACAGTTTTATTGGTCCTGGAGAGGGGATGTGTCTCTGTTTAGTGTTTGTGTGTGTGTTATTTGGTTCTTAGGGAGTGAGTGAGTATGATATGTGTAAGCGTGTATATTGCTGTGGGTGTGTGTTATCATTTGGCTCATTAGGGAGTGAGTGAGTATGATGTATGTAAGTGTGTATATTCGTGTGGGTGTGTGTATAAGTGTGAGGCCTCAACACCTTCGTAAGCATGTCTGTCTTGTGTGGGTGAGAAATGTGGGTAGGTTTTGATTTGTAGTGTTATATATTAATACTATCTATATATATATATATATATTTCACACACGCACAGACATATATATATGTATATATATGTCTGTGCGTGAGTATATCTATCTATCTATCTATCTATATATATATCTATATATATATATATATATATATATATATATATATATATATATATATATATATATATATAAAAGAAATATGTTGTAGTGGTTCCAACGAGAGAAAAAGTATGTATATTAAAAGAAGAGGGTGCCGCAAACGTTTTTGGTTGTAATGTGGATTTATTGAGAAAAAATATTATACTTTGTTTTACATAATTTCACGACACGTGTTTCTGGTCTGGTCTCGCAACCGTCTTCAGGTGAAAGTGGAGATTTTTTACATATTATTAAAAATAATTAATTTTTCTTCATGTTCAATGTGGAATATTCTCGATATGAGACATTCTGTTTGTGTGTTGGCAATCCGAATTTTCTTTCTAGAATTGTCAATGAAGAGTTCTGCGTGAAGAGTCATAAAACAATTAAGGTTTGTCCAGCGAGTAGTTATCGGCATTTAATCTTTTAATGTTTTAGTGACCTCTATGTGCTCTTGGATCTGTTTCTATTTTGGCGTGTTCCTGTCAGCATGCGTGTATATATGCGTGCGTATATTTCCTTACTACGAGGAATTCGTAAACTTATTTGTACTTATACACGCATACACACACATACGCACATACACACTATCCCACCACAAGTAGTCAGTACACACACACATATACACACATATTTCCCAAGCTACATGGAACCAGTACACACACACACACACACACACACACATACATACACACGCACACACACACACACACGTACTTCTTAAGTTGTATATATATCTCCTCGTGTCTCCCGTATATGAGTGTGCGTCCATGTATGTGAGCGATCATTGTATTTGGTCACCCTGTGTGCATGTTTTTTTTTTTTTGTGGGGGGGTTACGATCTATTCAGTTCGGGTTTGAATTTGTCTATAAAGTTTTTTTCCTGTATTTGTAGATACGAGTAATTGTCTGTTTGATATATCGGCATGATATTAAACTTACCCTGGTTACATTTGAAAATGTGTTGTGATACAAAAGTTTTCTGTTGTCTGTCAATTTTATATTGCTTTTGTGTAGGGAGACCCTGTTGTTCAGTTGTTGGCTGATGCCTATATATGACTTCTTACATTTTGTGCATTTAAGTGCATAAACTACATTTTGGAGTTGCAGTTTAAGTTTTTGTTTATTGTGAATGTTTTTTTTGGGGTTTTCAAAAGTGTAGGAGTTTCCTTCTATAATGATGTCACAAACTCCACATCTTTTTTTTGCATTTTTGTGACTCCCTGTATTTTGTGTTGACTAAATTTAGATGAGGTTAATATGTGTTTTAGGTTTCTAGATTGGCGTTTGCTCTTAATTATTTTGGTTGTTTTTAGTATATTATTCGGAAAATTCGGATTGCCAACACACAAACAGAATGTCTCATATCGAGAATATTCCACATTGAACATGAAGAAAAATTATTTTTAATAATATGTAAAAATCTCCACTTTCACCTGAAGACGGTTGCGAGACCAGACCAGAAACACGTGTCGTGAAATTATGTAAAACAAAGTATAATATTTTTCTCAATAAATCCACATTACAACCAAAAAACGTTTACGGCACCCTCTTCTTTTTAATATATATATATATATATATATATATATATAAAAAACATATATATATATATAAACTTATATAAAAGAGGATTGCCGCCCAAATATATATATATATATATATATATATATATATATATGGGTAGTGTATGTGTGTGTGTCTGTGAACTTTAATTTACTTGAAGTGAATTCCACAAAAATAAAATAAAATATTCTGCAGTAGTCGACTGTTTTACTTTCGGCTTCCACTTATTGTCAGGCCTTACGAAATAAAGTAGTTTTTTTTTCCTTTCTGTTTTAGTTATTTTTCTAAGTTTCAAATGGAAACGTTAATTCTCTCTTTCTTTCCGACACACGAACACCACGAAAAGCGTCCATGTAATGCAAGTTATATCGATTAAACCAAGGGATTTCAAGTTAAACAAAACCAATTTCTAACATGAGTCAAGTGCTTTTAACAATATTATACTTACTTGCTTCCAGATTTCCCATCGAGTGATGTGCGCAGGTGATGTTACGGGATAAGTGTAACTCGGGTTTCATCCTAGCACGCTGCTGTCAATGTTCATGATTTTAGACTTTAGAGACGTTTCCTGCTTTAAAATGAAGACATTGGCATAAGTCATTTATTTAGATGAACATTTTTACGATTTGATATACCTACGATTTTATATATATGGCTTTATATAAGTGTTTTATATTTTGTATAGATTCGGTTTGATATGTACTCTGATATCTCATACTTTGGTAAGAATAATCTAGAAGAATCTAGAATAATCTAGAAGAATCGAGAACATATACTGGTAGTATAGCCTGCATGGCAACAGAAAAGGAATTCAGTACATATACAAAAAATATATATATATATATATATATATATATATATATATATATATATAGTTTATGAAAAACTAGGTAATCCGTATGGGTAAACCCTAAGGAGGATAGGATTTTCTTCTTTTTTCTTTTTTTTTGTTTGGAAGTAAAGTCTTATTTTGGTGGTTCATAAAGATTATTAACACTTTCAAAGTAAAGCAAAATAATAGCGTCTGTTTCTAGTTTTTTTTACAAAGAAAATTAGTGACATCTTCTCTTTTCTTCTCTCTGAACTTCCTTCTCTCTTTTTTTCTCTATGAGTTTTTTTCTTCGCTACCCCTTCGATTTCAATATATAACTTTTGTTAAGTTAACCGTTTAAATGTGTCAATATCTGCTAACTCACTCATGTCTTCTCTCTCCCCCCTCACTTCGTTAATTTGCATATGTTTAATACGGCCCGTCAAAAATGTGTAAATTTTCTTTTCATTTTTTGTTTGGAAGTAAAGTCTGATGATCCGCAGTCCTTTTAAAAGGGCTGTGGTGAAATAATTTATTACATGGAACCTTAAAGTGGTCTGTTTTTATCTAATATATATATATATATATATATATATATATATATATATATATATATATATATATATATAAAATGTAATATATACAAAAATAGAAAGGGGAGTAAAACAAGGACGTGTTTCTCATCAGACTTTACAGTGAAATAATCCTGAGAGAGTTAGAAGTCCTACGAGGATTAATTATTGGTCGTCAGAGTATTAAAAACATAGAATATGCAGATGACACAGTGAATAACTAACACAGAAAAGAAATTACAAGAAGTTCTATAGGAGGTAGTGAAGGAAAGCGAGAAAAAAAAAGGACTAAACATCAACTGCAAGAAGACTGAATGTAAGATTGACAGAAAAAGGAACAACACAACATGCAATTTAAAAATTGGAGATAGCAAAATCAAGTACAACAATTAAAATATCCGGAGATCTTTTTTGAGAGGACGAAAATGCGACACCGAAATCCGAATGTGCATTTGGATAGCGAAAGATGATTTCCGAAATCTAAGCAAAGTAATATGAAACATGAAAATTTCGTTAGAAACAAACAAAAGAGTACGGAACACTATATTGTAGTTGAAACAATCTCCTCATAGGTGAAGAAGAGACCTGAAACAATCGAAATGTACAGAAGGATGGTAAGAATATGATGGACCGAATACGTGACCATTGACAAAGTTTTAAAGAAAATTGAGAAAGAAAATGACGTTTATACTTAGCATCAGAAACAGTTGAAATTTCTAGGACACATAATGATGAAAGAAGGCTTGGAAAATCTGATACTCACATGACAGCCTGAAGGCAAGAGAGACAGAGGAAAACAATGCGTAACATACTTAGTGAGCTTGAGTAAATGGATGGCGGATCAAGGTTCAGGAGAATTAGCAACAAGACGAAAAGCACATATGGCACTCTATTCAATATCCTGAAGGGATATGGCACATAAAAGAATAATATTGTACTCTATTCAATATCCTGAAGGGATATGGCGCATAAAAGAATATTATTGTACTCATTCAATATCCTGATGAGATATGGCATATAAAAGAAGAATATTGCACTCATTCAATATCCTGATGAGATATGGCATATAAAAGAAGAATATTGCACTCATTCAATATCCTGAAGGGGTATGGCATATAAAAGAAGAATATTGCATCAATATCCTGATGGGATATGGCATATAAAAGAAGAATATTGCACTCATTCAATATCCTGATGAGATATGGCATATAAAAGAAGAATATTGCACATTCAATATCCTGAAGGGATATGGCATATAAAAGAAGAATATTGCACTCATTCAATATCCTGATGGGATATGGCATATTGCAAAAGAAGAATATTGCACTCATTCAATATCCTGAAGGGATATAAAAAAATATGAAGAATATTGCACTCATTCAATATCCTGAAAAAGGATATGGCATATAAAAAGAAGAATATTGCACTCATTCAATATCCTGAAGGATATGGCATATAAAAGAAGAATATTGCACTCATTCAATATCCTGAAGGGATATGGCATATAAAAGAAGAATATTGCACTCATTCAATATCCTGATGAGATATGGCATATAAAAGAAGAATATTGCACTCATTCAATATCCTGAAGGGATATGGCATATAAAAGAAGAATATTGCACTCATTCAATATGCTGATAAGATATGGCATATAAAAGAAGAATATTGCACTCATTCAATATCCTGAAGGGATATGGAATATAAAAGCACATATGGAACTCTATTCAATATCCTGATGGATTATGGCATATAAAAGAAGAATATTGCACTCATTCAATATCCTGAAGGGATATGGCATATAAAAGAAGAATATTGCACTCATTCAATATCCTGAAGGGATATGGCATATAAAAGAAGAATATTGCACTCATTCAATATCCTGATGAGATATGGCATATAAAAGAAGAATATTGCACTCATTCAATATCCTGAAGGGATATGGCATATAAAAGAAGAATATTGCACTCATTCAATATCCTGAAGGGATATGGCATATAAAAGAAGAATATTGCATTCATATCCTGATGAGATATGGAATATATAAAAGAATAATATTGCACTCATTCAATATCCTGATGAGATATGGCATATAAAAGAAGAATATTGCACTCATTCAATATCCTGAAGGGATATGGCATATAAAAGAAGAATATTGCACTCATTCAATATCCTGATGAGATATGGCATATAAAAGAAGAATATTGCACTCATTCAATATCCTGAAGGGATATGGCATATAAAAGAAGAATATTGCACTCATTCAATATCCTGATGAGATATGGCATATAAAAAGAAGAATATTGCACTCATTCAATATCCTGAAGGGATATGGATATAAAAGAAGAATATTGCATTCAATAAAAGGGATATGGCATAAAAAGAAGAATATTGCACTCATTCAATATCCTGAAGATATGGCATATAAAAGAAGAATATTGCACTCATTCAATATCCTGAAGGGAGAAGAAGAATATTGCACTCATTCAATATCCTGATGAGATATGGCATATAAAAGAAGAATATTGCACTCATTCAATATCCTGAAGGGATATGGCATATAAAAGAAGAATATTGCACTCATTCAATATCCTGAAGGGATATGGCATATAAAAAGAAGAATATTGCACTCATTCAATAACCTGATGAGATATGGCATATAAAAGAAGAATATTGCCTCATTCAATATCCTGAATGGATATGGCATATAAAAAGAAGAATATTGCACTCATTCAATATCCTGATGAGATATGGCATATAAAAGAAGAATATTGCACTCATTCAATATCCTGAAGGGATATGGCATATAAAAGAAGAATATTGCACTCATTCAATATCCTGAAGGGATATGGCATATAAAAGCACATATGGAACTCTATTCAATATCCTGATGGATTATGGCATATAAAAGAAGAATATTGCACTCATTCAATATCCTGAAGGGATATTGGCATATAAAAAGAAGAATATTGCACTCATTCAATATTCTGATGAGATATGAATATTGCTCTCAAATATCCTGAAGGGATATATTGCATTGCACTCATTCAATATCCTGAAGGGATATGGCATATAAAAGAAGAATATTGCACTCATTCAATATCCTGATGAGATATGGCATATAAAAGAAGAATATTGCACTCATTCAATATCCTGATGATATGGCATATAAAGAAGAATATTGAAATTCAATATTCTGAAGGATAATATTGAAGAATATTGCACTCATTCAATATCCTGAAGGGATATGGCATATAAAAAGAAGAATATTGCACTCATTCAATATCCTGATGAGATATGGCATATAAAAGAAGAATATTGCTCTCATTCAATATCCTGAAGGGATATGGCATATAATAGAAGAATATTGCACTCATTCAATATCCTGATGAGATATGGCATATAAAAGAAGAATATTGCACTCATTCAATATCCTGAATGGATATGGCATATAAAAAAAAGAATATTGCACTCATTCAATATCCTGAAGGGATATGGCATATAAAAAAGAAGAATATTGCACTCATTCAATATCCTGATGAGATATGGCATATAAAAGAAGAATATTGCACTCATTCAATATCCTGATGAGATATGGCATAAAAGAAGAATAAATTCAATATCCTGAATGGATATGGCATATTGAAGAATATTGCACTATTCAATATCCTGATGAGATATGGCATATAAAAGAAGAATATTGCACTCATTCAATATCCTGATGAGATATGGCATATAAAAGAAGAATATTGCACTCATTCAATATCCTGAATGGATATGGCATATAAAAGAAGAATATTGCACTCATTCAATATCCTGATGAGATATGGCATATAAAAGAAGAATATTGCACTCATTCAATATCCTGATGAGATATGGCATATAAAAGAAGAATATTGCACTCATTCAATATCCTGAAGGGATATGGCATATAAAAGAAGAATATTGCACTCATTCAATATCCTGAAGGGATATGGCATATAAAAGAAGAATATTGCACTCATTCAATATCCTGAAGGAATATGGCATATAAAAGAAGAATATTGCACTCATTCAATATCCTGATGAGATATGGCATATAAAAGAAGAATATTGCACTCATTCAATATCCTGATGAGATATGGCATATAAAAGAAGAATATTGCACTCATTCAATATCCTGATGAGATATGGCATATAAAAGAAGAATATTGCACTATTCAATATCCTGAAGATATGGCATATAAAAGAAGAATATTGCACTCATTCAATATCCTGAAGGGATATGGCATATAAAAAGAATATATGGAACTATTCAATATCCTGATGGATATGGCATATAAAAAGAAGAATATTGCACTCATTCAATATCCTGATGAGATATGGCATATAAAAGAAGAATATTGCACTCATTCAATATCCTGATGAGATATGGCATATAAAAGAAGAATATTGCACTCATTCAATATCCTGAAGGGATATGGCATATAAAAGAAGAATATTGCACTCATTCAATATCCTGAAGGGATATGGCATATAAAAGAAGAATATTGCACTCATTCAATATCCTGATGAGATATGGCATATAAAAAAGAATATTGCACTCATTCAATATCCTGAAGGATATGGCATAAAAAGAAGAATATTGCACTCATTCAATTTTCTGAAAGGATATGGTATATAAAAGAAGAATATTGCACTCATTCAATATCCTGAAGGATATGGCATATAAAAGAAGAATATTGCACTCATTCAATATCCTGATGAGATATGGCATATAAAAAGAAGAATATTGCACTCATTCAATATCCTGAAGGGATATGGCATATAAAAGAAGAATATTGCACTCATTCAATATCCTGAAGGGATATGGCATATAAAAAGAAGAATATTGCTCTCATTCAATATCCTGAAGGGATATGGCATATAAAAGAAGAATCCTGAATATCCTGATGAGATATGGCATATAAAAGAATATTGCACTCATTCAATATCCTGAAGGAATATGGCATATAAAAGCACATATGGAACTCTATTCAATATCCTGATGGATTATGGCATATAAAAAAAGAATATTACACTCTATTCAATACCCTGAAGGGATATGGCATATAAAAGCACATATGGAACTCTATTCAATATCCTGATGGATTATGGCATATAAAAGAAGAATATTGCACTCATTCAATATCCTGAAGGGATATGGCATATAAAAGAAGAATATTGCACTCATTCAATATCCTGATGAGATATGGCATATAAAAGAAGAATATTGCACTCATTCAATATCCTGAAGGGATATGGCATATAAAGAAGAATATTGCACTCATTCAATATCCTGATGAGATATGGTATATAAAAAAGAAGAATATTGCACTCATTCAATATCCTGAAGGGATATGGCATATAAAAGAAGAATATTGCACTCATTCAATATCCTGATGAGATATGGCATATAAAAAGAAGAATATTGCAATTCAATATCCTGAAGGGATATGGCATATAAAGAAGAATATTGCACTCATTCAATATCCTGAAGTGATATGGCATATAAAAGAAGAATATTGCACTCATTCAATATCCTGATGAGATATGGCATTTAAAAGAAGAATATTGCACTCATTCAATATCCTGAAGGGATATGGCATATAAAAGAAGAATATTGCACTCATTCAATATCCTGATGAGATATGGCATATAAAAGAAGAATATTGCACTCATTCAATATCCTGAAGGGGATGGCATATAAAAAGAAGAATATTGCACTCATTCAATATTCTGATGAGATATGGCATATAAAAGAAGAATATTGCACTTATTCAATATCCTGATGGGATATGGCATATAAAAGAAGAATATTGCACTCATTCAATATTCAATGAGATATCCTGAAAAAGAGAATATTGCATATTCAAAAAGAAGAATATTGCACTCATTCAATATCCTGATGAGATATGGCATATAAAAGAAGAATATTGCACTCATTCAATATCCTGAAGGGATATGGCACATAAAAGAAGAATATTGCACTCATTCAATATCCTGAAGGGATATGGCATATAAAAGCACATATGGAACTCTATTCAATATCCTGAAGTGATATGGCACATAAAAGAAGAATATTTTACATTCCTGCAACTGTAAATTATTGTAGATCTATTTTATCTAATCTTGTCAGAAGAATACGTATCTTCTTATCATTTATTCGTTGCTAACTTTTTATTTAAACTGGAAGATGCTTCATGGCGGTTTTCTATTGATTTGAATTTCTTTGGATTTTCTTCTTTCATGCGTCGCTATGTTCCTTCAGAGTGTAGCAAATTATTACTCACTATTCAACACTGTTCATCTTCTATTTTTGCATAATCTAAGCTTTACGTTCTTCTTACTCAAAATCTAGATAATAATATGTGGCTCATTAAAAATTAGCTCGCCTTTATTCGCGCTTGGCTTATATATTTTTAATATAAATATAACATAGTCTATAAAACATAGGTATGCTTTATTCTCTATTTGTATGTCTTGCTCTGACATTTTTCTCTTCATAAATATTGCATTATTCTTCCAATGTCTTTAGAGAAGCTAACCAACTTCCGGTTTAATTCTACTGCGCACTTTACCCAGAATCTGGATAATAATAATAATAATAATAATATGTAGCTCATTAAAACTGATAGACGGAGTTTGCCATTATTCGCTCTTAGCTATATAATATAAATATATGAGAAAAAGTGCCGCAAGATCCCTTTTTTCTATATATTTTATTACAATGTCAGAAAGTAATAACCAAAAATCATTTTGGCAACAAACTAAAAAATGAAGTAATAATCTCGTACTCCACACCCCAAACGTTAATCAAATATCACATCTTATTTTTATTATGCACAAATATCTTAATCTCTTTTATTTCCTTAAAATGAAAGTAACTGAATAATTCAATGAATAATATCATAATTTCAAAATTTCTCAGAAGCTAGCAAAACACACCACAGAATTTAAAATTTAGGGTAAAATTTAATTTAGGCTAAAAACTAGAAAGATGAGGATAGTAGCTGAAGTTAAATATAGAATAATCAGCGATCCATCTGAATTGAAATTTAGACGCCGTTTGGAAGACTAACGAACAACCGAAGCAAGAATTTTGAGTTTACTAATTCAAAGAATACATAGATTAATGTACAAAGTAAATTTAAAAATAAAAAGCAGAGTGAGGGTTAAAGGGAGATCACAACGGACTCAAAGTCAGAACATTATCATTGATAACTCTCTCCTCCAATTTGAGGACTCTAGTTACGATATTCTTAATACTTGATATGATGCAAAAATATCACAATGATAAAATCAGTCAATAATTATTGATAACTATTTATACTGTGACTTATTCAAGCAATTACAAGTAATCCATAAGAATATTTTAATTTTTAAAATCATATTTATTTTTGGCATATCAATATTTTTATACTTTGATTGTCTTTCAATCATTTTGCCTCACCGGCTCTCCTCTTCCGCCACATGTATGAAGCGCATTACGCCGTTTGGGAATCACTGACTTAATATTTTAAATGTACATCTTAGAAATGGAGGCATTATTTGGAAGACTAAAGAACAATTGAAAGAAAGACATGGAGATAGTAATTCAGATAATATATAAAATAATGACAAAGACGCCATCTTAAAAATTATTTGGAAAGGTAACAGACACTCGAAATGTTGAAATAGTAATTCAAACAATATAAAGAATAATGAACAAGTCATCATCTTGAAAATTTAGAGATCGTTTGGAAGGCAGAAGAACAATCGAAACAACATGGAGTTTAATAGTTTAAATCTTATATAGAATCATGTACGATCAATCATAGAAAATTACATCTCACTTTGAAGTCTAAATGTGACTAGAAGAAACAATGTCGAGCACAGTATTTCAAGTACTCAAATGTTCAATAATTAGAAATCCATCTTATCAGAAATTTAGGCATCACTTTTAAGTCTAAAGAACATTCGGAACAAGAATGTTGAGGACCGTAATTCGAATAATTCCCAAAATAGACCATGTATATGTTTAGTTGACACAGGGCATTATATAATTAATATTTTTCATTCAACGTTGTACCTTAGATCAACTTATTGATTGTTAGCAGAATCGATTCTTTTCAGCGGCCATATTGCATCATACCAATGAAATGAAAGACAGTCAAGCTATTTAATAGTTTATGTCACTGAAATCTTTAGCTGTCTATTCGCTAAAACATCTGCCATGAAAATTGTATGGAATTATTATCAAGTAGGGGTATAATGCATGATTTTAGGCACGGAAAATATGTAGTTACATCAGTTTCCTACCTGGATTTTAATAGTATATAAATGGAAGTGGATGTGTGATGATTATCCATACGAAAAGTAAATCTAGTGAGCTGATTTCAAGTTCCAGCTTCGTCTGTTGTATTCAGTTTGGACAGAGATCCATGGCAAAAAAAGAGATCCATAGAATGTGATCCATAGCAAAAACATGAATTCATTTCTTCGCACCCATCAGCTATGATTTACATCAATGGTTCCCAAAAGTCGTAGTGCGCCTCATAGATATGGCGGAAGAGGATAGCCGGTGAGGCGTAATTATTAAAAGACAAAGTTTAAATAATATTAATATGCCAAAAATAAATATGATTTCAAAATTTAAAATATTATTAGTGATTACTTGTAATTGCAAGAATGAATCCCAGTATAAATAGTTATCAATATTATATCATTGATTGATTTTATATCATTATATCAAGTATTAAGAATATAGGAATTAGAGTCCGCAAATTGGAGGAGAGAGTTATCAATAATAATGTTCTGACTTCGAATCCGTGGTTATCTCCCTTTAACCCTCTCAACAGCTTTTTTTATTTCTAAGTTTACTTTTTTATCGTATGAAATTTGGTGAGGCACGAGCAAGCTTTCATTCAAAAAATGTGGCTCACAAAAAAAAGTTTGGAAATCACTGAATTACATAGAAGAGTACATTGAGATCTCCATGCTTGGATGGCAGCCAGTTTAATAGAAGGAAAATTTAAAAATCAAAACTGTGGAAACCACTCCGCTATTTTTCCTATCAATATTCACGGTAATTCAAAGATAAGAAAGGAAAACAAGTTGCGGGGAGTCATGATCGAATACGGTCTGAAAGGAAATGTGTATTTTTAAAAAATGGAAATTTAAAAAAAAAAATAAATTAAAAATTATTTTTCAAAAGAACCTGGAAAATGGTTGCTTTTCTGTCTGGGTGTGATATATAGTTTCTTGATGAATTAAGCGGCTCAGCTATGAATAATGAGATTGGAAGAGGTCGTTGAACGCCGATTCGATCGGAATGTGGCAGAAGGCCCGAGTAATAAATCAGAAACAAATACATGGGAAGATAAATAGATTCCAACAATATATATATATATATATATATATATATATATATATATAAAATATATATATATCGTGTTTACATAAGAAAAGAAAATCTGCCATATAAATAAATATACTGAGAAGAACATCGAAAGCAAACACGTATCTATCTTAAAAACAAAGTCGACTATAAATACATATAAAAAGATTACAGTAACAAGATATATATCAAAAGTATGATAAATAGATTTGTAAATATAGAGATTTTAAATACATAAAAAGAGAGATAACACAGACAACATCGATAGATTAACAATAGATAGATAGATAGATATCTATCTAGATAAAATAGATAATAGTTCTGAAACAACTTTTATTTGAAATGACATATCTCAAAAAGAAGATTATAAAACAATGAAAATTTGGATATATATAAAAATAATTATGAGGAGATAGATAGATAGATAGATAGATAATAGATAGATAGATAGATAGATTAATAGATAAAACAAGCTAAATAAAAAAAAAAATTTTGAATATAGATATAGATAAACAGACAGATAGATAGATTAACAGTTTTGATAGATAGATAGATAGATAGATAGATAGATAGATAGATAGATAGATAGATAGATAGATAGACAAAAATTCTGAAACAACTTTAGGCAACTTTGAAATGATACATATTCATCTCAGACAGTAAGAAGATTATAAATACATATGAAAATTTTGGAGTAACAAAATATATAAAAATAATTATGAGTGAAATAGATAGATAGATAGATAGATAGATAGATAGATAGATAGATAGATAGATAGATAGAAACAAGCTAAATCAAAAAAAAAGTGTTGAATATGTTAATATAGATAAACAGATAAATAGATAGATATGAACAGGCTTAGATAGATAGATATGAACATGGTTAGATAGATAGATAGATAGATAGATAGATAGATAGATAGATAGATAAAGAACAGTTTGACATTGAAAACTGATTGTGACAAAAGGTATTTTCATCTATTACTGATGCTTCTCTTGTTCTCTTCGTGCCTAAATGATGGCTGTCGACTAAACGAGTAAGATCATTGCTGAGAAGTAATGCATGTGCTGAGATTATAGTTGTCTATTGATTGTACCACATCACAATGTGTTATACCAAATATAATATGAATACCAGAGACAAGCAGATGTGAAAAATCCGAATTAGAACTGAGGCGGGTGTTACATCTGAGTCTTCCTTCTCTTTGACCGGTCAAAGTTGAAATGGCTAATCTGCCCTTTTATTTAACCAATAGCGTTCATTGCGTACATACATACATATAAATATGTGTGTGAGGGAGAGAGAGAGAGAATGAAAGATAGAAAGATTAACATACTGTGGTAAAATCGTAAGATAGACACACTTTGAAGTTCTAAGCACGGATTACTGAACCCTGCGTTGGACGTCCGCGTTGTTAGAATTATTGGTAAAGGGGATGTAAGTTAATACGAAATACTAAAAAAACCTTCGAAATGACATTGCGCTGTCCTTGTATCAACGGGAAGTAAACGTGGCTCAACGTACTGCATCTATTTTGTCTTATGTGAAATTGATTTGGAAGAGTCTGAGAAATCAACAAACCATTGTTTTCTTTTTAGAAGATAGAAAACAAAATATTACTTCTGCCTAGACGTTCATCTTTGTTAATTAATGAACAATAAAAGAAAATTCACAATTGTTGGAAAAAAGCATTACCAAGAAAAAAAAAAAGATAAAAGAAAAGTTAGGCATTTTTAAGCTGGGAAAATATCTATCGAAAATGGGTGCAGGGCGACTCATCCTCTCCAATTCAACACCGGCGACTCAACACTGACAACTCATCTCCATGATAACTCATCTCCATGGCAACTCAATTCCAGGACAACTCACCACCAGCCTACTTTATGACAACTCAGCGACATGCAAACTATGAAGTTGTTTCGACGACTTTTAAAAAACAAATAAAAAGTAAATTATTAAGGATCACTTTTAAAACACAAGTTTTTAAAAGCGAACGAAAGTAATTTATTACGGATCATTTTTAAAAGTAACTTTTTTTAAACCGAATAAAAGTAATTTATTAAGGATCATTTTTAAAACTAACCTTTTTTTTAAACCGAATAAAAGTAATTTATTAAGGATCATTTTTAATACATGATTTCATTTTAAATTTAAAAATGTAAACTGGAAACTCTATGCAATTCCCTTCAAATATTCAGTTGGAGATCTTTCTGAAAAAGAAGAAACAATCTTCATTTTTTTTTTATTTTATTTGTCTTCATATACTTCTTGATTTTAATGGAAGGTAGATGATCTCCAGTTACTTGCTCAAAAAAGGCATCTCGGTTTCTTTGGACTTTTTGCAGCCCTAGAATGAATCTCCATATTGTGTGGTGCTCCATTCCCAGCTCTGTGTGCAGTCTTTTATTTGTTGCTTCGGTATGGTTACTTTTGCGATCTTCCTTGTGCAACATTCTCTCGTAAATATTCCACATATACTAAGAGATGTGCACACCATGATAGCCACCATCGGTCTGAGGCTATGACTTCGACGTCAGCGTTGAGTTGTCCTCGCGCTGAGTAGGTTACTGGAGTTGAGTTGTCACGAAGATGATTTGGTTGGTGTTGAGTTGTCATGGAGATGAGTTGGCCGGTGTTGAGTCGGCGGTAACGAAATGTCCCTTCCTTCCAGCTTGTGAGTAGTAGAACTTAATAGAAAAAAATAAATAAAATTTTCATTCAAAATAAGGAATGTTTACTTTATTTGAGGCTTACCGTCACGTCGCCTTGAAACACCTGTTCTCCTACGATCAACGAAGTCAAGCAACTTTAAGCTTAGTCAGACCGCTTGCTAATACCCTGGTATTTCCAAGCGGTCTGGTTATACGTTTGGATGCGCGTGTGGCGTAATGGATACCGGCTCGGAATTGGATACCGGAGAGTCGAGTTCCAATTCCTGTCGATTTTTTTATATTCACATACACGCAAATATCATTGAAAAAAGATATGAATCTACCCCCGGCTATGGGTTAATTAGTAGGAATTGTATCAGTAAATCATTATTATCTAAAAAAAATCTTACCATCTCAAAATATTTTCTGGTTTAAATAACCTGCAAAAGATTGATAAACCGTAAAAAATCAAACAAATCAATACTTTGTTTGATATATATTATTATTAATCATATTGATTTATAGAAATTAGATAATATTATATACTGGGTTTTAAAAAATCTTTAAATTTCTATCAATTTTAATTAACTCTTTAATCATCCCTTTTATGTCAGGGGCTACGAGTGCTACTAGTACCATGTAAGCCAATGCTACTTTCTGCATCAGCGTCAGGTTATCGGAAACTAAACCAGTTCCTCCACCAACCTTTTCTAATGAGGAGGGTAGATGGACACAGGAGGATTAAAAACAAGATCTGTCAACGAATGAAGCTTACCGTAGGTTGTTTTATTTTGTTTCGCGGCATATCAACCTCTACAGGTTATACAATGCTGATATTTAAATATTTTGAACACAATTTTATAGCTTCAAGCACAGATAAAATGTATTGTTGGTCATTTTGCTATAAAATGTAGTGTTGCTAAAATTAACTATAAATCTGTATTGTTGGTAATTTTAATATAAATAGGTAGTCTTGGTAATTTGATTTATATAAAAGTGTGTTGCTTGTATTTTTATATTTTAATAGTGTTTGCTTGGAGATTCATAGCTGGAACCATAACAGGTGCTGCCACCCAGAGTGAGGGTGAACCTGGGAACAATAGCATTTAAGAGGTTGTTTCACGCTCCTCAGAAGCCCCAATCTGTGATCAGAGGCCTTTCTGTCGGGTGTAGCTTATCACCATACTCAGAACTTCTTGTAGGGTTCGAAATTCCAACGTATATCACCTGAAGAAAGCTGGAACATACAACAGCCGAAACGTCGTGAATATGGCAATGAAGATGGGGACAACAGTCCGAACGATGCAAATAGTTACAATACCTCATCTTAGAAAATTAAACAGATTTTTTTTATTTTATCAAATATTAAATTAATTAAAATATTCTTTATTTCGTTGAAATGATTTCCTAATTCAAATGAATATTGTGTTTATTTTCTTACTAGCAGCATGGCCCGGCGTTGCCCGTGCTTGATTCAAAAATCGTACGACTCATACAGCAATCGCTATCACTTGACTTAAAACATTTTTGCCCTTCCTTGCCTTTAAAGAAGTGCCCTTTGCCGTGCTGATGTTGCTACATGCCTTACTTCTTGCTTATCTCACACTGTGAATTTTTCTAAGCTCTATACTAAACATTAAATCTGTTACGAAAAAAGAACTAAACAAAATGAGCACAAAACGATCAGCTTTAAAAAAGGACTCGTAACTTGAAAAACCGAATAAAAGAAGCATGTTAACAACAAATAGTTTTTCATACCCAACCCAGTTCTGCGGAATCAGAATCAACGTTGAGTTTAAGCAAGCGAATGAGCCAATTGGAGTAAAGTGCCATGCAGATTTAAATTTTTCCCACTTGTGACGAATGCAGCTATCGATTTTTTTTTGCATGCTAGCATGCTAGTTAACATTCGTGTCAGTGAGCTGTTGGCTCTCACGCTGGCCAATAGAATCTTCCTACCTATTCGTGGCAGCCAGCTATAGGCTCTCACTCTGGCCAGTAGAAAATGGCCGTAAATTACATGAAAAGTGCCGTAGAAGCATGAAAAAATCGATTATTTCCACTTTTGATGTGAGTTGGAAAATGTAAAGCCGGTCTTGGCCTTTCCACTAACTTGGAGCATGTGCATGTAAATTTTGGTGCAAATCCGTCAAAAATTGCGGCCGTGCATTCGTTACACACACACACACACATCCTGCCTTTTATAGATAGAGATTGGCTATTTTCTTAGTTAAGGCTTATATTTCATCTGTTTTTTTTTTGGTTTTTTTACTCAAACAAATGACTTTTTTGTGTCACTTTTTTCCAAGACTTTTTTCAAGTCACAAAATTCGCAGACAAAATTTGAGTTTAAAGTCTTTGAAAAGATCTTTCGAGATATCATTCATTTTCGGAAAATACAAAGTTAATGCAATGTTTATATATATATATATATATATATATATATATATATATATATATATATATATATATTTGTATATATGTCTCGCTAAAATTTAAAGGTGACATATAAGATACTTCTATATAAATTTATAAAACTGAAGAGACAAATCAATAACAACATGATAACAAATGGGTCCTAGAGGCTTTCATCTTTACGGCCTTAGGAGTTGGCCAATAGCAAACAAGCGGAAGAGCCTGATTAGAATCCAACAAAAACCGGACAGTGTTAATTTTGTAGAATATTTACTTCAGCTTGTACATCTATTTACTATAATGTTTGTAGACGTGATAGCAGAGCCAAAGGTTCTTTTTCTCCTAGTATCATGTATCGATTCAAACGACGTCTCGATTTCATGGCACTTCGTATAATGAAATGACCTAAAGAAAATAAAAGACGTAGATATTTATGAGAGACTCCAAGTTAGAAAAGGTTAACGTAGAGAAAAAAAGTATTTTATAGTATTTCAAAAATAATGATACTGGCTTTCAATTAGCCTTTAACGATATATTATGCTTGAATGGTCAACAAAATTATTTAAGAAAACTGTTAGCTTTCGTGGGCTTGATGCCTTTTAATCAACAGAAGAAGGAGAAGAAGAAGAAGGAGAAGAAGAAGAAGGAGAAGAAGAACAGGGGGAGGAGGAGATCGAATTAAAAAAAGAGAGGAGAAGCAAGAAGAATATAATAATTGAAAAAAGCGAAGAAAAATAAGATGTGGAGGTGAAAAAAAGAAGAGATGAACTAGCAGGTGAAGAAGGAGTGGAGGAGGTAAAAGAAGAAATGTAAAAAGCGAGGAATAGAAGAAGAAGAAGAAGAAGAAGAAGAAGAAGAAGAAGAAGAACTAAGAGAGAGGTAGGATCGGGGAAAAAGGTGATGAAAGATGA